CACAAAGGATTTACACAATTAACACAGACAAAGCTTGTTTCTGAACTGTGGGAGAAAACCCAAATACTTGGAAAAAACCACACGTGGAAACAGGGAGAGCACACAAACACCGCAGCGTAGACAGACCAGTGTGGAATTGTACTCAGGCTTTAAGAACTGTAAGGTAGTAGCACTAACTAATATAACATCCAGATTTGAGTTCAGATATGTTAAATTCCCAGCCTCTCTCACTCTCACTCTCACCTCACCTCTCACCTATGATCTGAACCTCACAGTGCCTTATTCCTTTCTTTCTTTCTTACCAAAAACCCAAACACACATTGAAAATCTACCTCTACCATACATGTCAAAAGCTCACTCCCCATAATTTCTATCCCTTTATTTACGAGAAGCGCCCTGGGATTTTGAATGACCACAGAGAGTCAGGACCTCGGTTTTACGTCTCATCCGAAGGACGGCACCTGTTTACAGTATAGTGTCCCCCTCACTATACTGGGGCATTAGGACCCACATGGACCACAGGGTGAGCACCCCCTGCTGGCCCCACTTACACTTCTTCCAATAGCAACCTTAGTTTTTCCCAGGAGGTCTCTCATCCAGGTACTGACCAGGCTCACATCTGTTGAGCTTCAGTGGGTTACCAGTTGTGAGTTGCAGAGTGATATGGCTGCTGGAGTTGATACAGAGGCTAGGATGAATCGAGCTTGTGCACTGAAACACAAAAAAACATGTAGACATTACACTCAAATACTGCAATGAACAAAACATGCCCACAGCCAGCTACAGTGTAATGTTAATTGTTGGGGGAAAAACGTTGAAACAGAGCCTTAATAATTTTATTTCTCTTCATATTCTCTTCATCCAATTCCCTCTCATTAATGTATTTCATTGTGCTGTACTGCAAATGTACATTCTCCATTCTGTTTTTTATTCAGAATGACTGATGATGGTGGGTACCCTTTAGGATGCTGAAGTCTTGATCTCTCCATCTTGCATCATGTCCTGCAAGATGTGTCACAAATTCCTTCAGCATTTAATATTTTTGTTTCATTAGAATATACTTTGTAATGAAAATTACTTATGTAATCACCTGCTGAATTAGGGGGCTTGAAACCTTAATATTTTTTTCTATAATAAAAAGATCCAAGGCTAGAAAGAATTTAAAAAAATATACAAGAATCTGAAATCTCCCTCTATAGTTAAGTATCATGGTATTTAAAGTTTTTTTTCCTGTTAACTTGGTGCAAGCCTATACTATATGTGAAAAAATATAACTAAAAGAAAGAAAATGACCAGTAACATGATGTTGAAATACAGGTTAGAAACTCTACGAGTGAGATAAAAGCAATATATTGCAATAGGAGCTCAAACCAATATTAAGAGGTTCTTCAAATCCTGTACTACAGCAGACAATTAAAAGAAATGGAAGATGTGTCTAAGTTACAATGGATTCACGGTGTGTCAGCCTTAGATCAGAGCCCTTATCATTTCCAAGCTAGACTCAAGAACAGTTAGCTGAGAGTCACTACCCAAGCAGGAGAGCAATTCAGAGACCTGCATAGCCAACATTAAAACTGTCTGCAACAGCTTCAAGAAACATTCTGTTAAACTTCATACATCTGCCCTTAGGGGCACTCAATTGGTCCTTGATAAGAACTGTTTGTTTCCCTGGACTCCAGCTACAGGCTGTGTATTCGACAAGGCTGATATCGAGGGGAATGATTCGGCTCTCATGGGTGTTCCCCTGGGTAACCTGTATTTCTAGGGAAGACATGTACGTGTTATATGATTCAGAGTTTATTTTTTCTTGCTGTTGTTTGCTTTAACTTTTAAAACTTAGTTCAGTTTTGAATTGTTTATTTTACAGCATCTTAATTTATTTTACAGGGACATTGGTAAAAATAAATAAGGATGTTTATAATATAATAAAAAAACAGTTGGCTTTTAAGAATATGAAAACAGTGGGTGAGTTCTGCAGAACAGCAGAATTTGCCTTGCTATCAAATCTTTGTTGAAACAACACAGACGTTGACATTTAATGTTTTGTGATCACTGGGAAAACTGAACGTACTGTACTGTACAACACATTCTATTGACAATAACTTGAATACTCTATTTTGCTTGTCAAGTTAAATGTCTTTGTTATTGTAAGCATTTATGTAACTGAAAAACATTTATATTTCTTGATAGTTGCATAAAAAATACCATGTAAATTTGAAGAAGGGAAGAATTAGAAGATCACCTTGTTTTTATACCAGAAGATTAAAAACAAGAACTGTGTATTTTGTTGCAATTTTAAAGGTTCTCACTGATGAGCTTTTTTTATGAGCAGGATTTTTTTTAATTATTAGCTTTTCTATGGACCTCTTTATCTCTCTCTTCAAAATTGTATTGGTTTGACACATACATCTGAAAAGGAGTTAACAAGGAAACATATAATAATGCTTACTGTAGGAGTCCATCAAAACTCAGGAACAGAGTCTGTAACCTGTGTGTACTGCACATATTCAGGTTGGTCTGGGTCTGTATTGGTAAACATTTTGAACCATATATCAAAATAAAGGACACAGGGTGTTTGTCATTACATTCAGTTGGGAATGTTTTTGATAAACCAAGAATTAAGATTAATCAAAATGGAAATAATTCTCAAATAAAAAGCAGAAAATGTCTTTCCTCACATAACCTTTATCCTCTAATTATTGTTGTTACTGAGAAAATGTGTTTATGAATGGAGAATAATGATAAAATGCTGGGAGAAATCACAATATTTATATTTCACGTCAAAATACCCCATTTGGTAAAATAAAATAGATACATAGACCAGACGTACATCATGAGTAGAGAGAAAAGAAAATAATTTATGGGTAATGAAAGCCTTTCCTCCTTCATAGACCGGAGCTACTGTACAGACCTTCCAGGTAAATAGAGCACTAAAGGCCATAAAGTAAGGAAATGTTGTCTCTTAATTGTGTAAATATTTATTTCCTTCTTGTAGTATCTACCAGGCCCTCAGCCAAGCAGGTAAACCCGAGTTTTCAAATCTATTTGAGCATGTGTAGACCTTCTCCCAGACCTTAAAGCGCTCTTTCTGGAGCTGCTCCTGCTAGGATCTATACTAACAATAAACCCGATACAAATGTAACCTGTTGTAATCATTTTCCTGACATACTGTACTGTAAGAGAATGCATAACTGTCTTCTCACATGGTTTTACAACCTACCTGTAATTCCGTTAAGAATGCAGAAGGCGTTATGGATAAGGTTTGAAACGCCTGATGAAACCTGTGTTCCGTTTAAAGACATTGATTCCTGACCAACAGCAATAATCAATACAACCACTGACTAAGGAGAGCATCTGTAGACATACAGTAGACAGTACAAGCAGTTCTCTTCATTGGTTCAGTTAAGACTGAGGTTATGATATAGTGTACCATTCACAGGTTATGTAAACTAATGTTAGAACCTTGTCAGTTATAATAATATCTACCTTGTATCTTGTATCTAACATACACTTGTATCTTGTATCTAACACTTCTATTCCTTTACAGATGTCGTCGACATAATATCATTCCTAAAGGATTTCGCCTGAAATTTAATACCTTTTCTTTTGACCCTGATACTACCGCTCACACCTCAAGAAGGCTCCACGGCCGAAACGTTGTGTTTTCTTTCTTCTCTTTTCAGCATGGAAAAAACTATTACTTGTTCCTTCGTATCTAACATGTCAGTTAGATAATAATTTATGTTTGAGTTTCATTCCAAAATTAACTATTTACAATACTGGGTTGACTTGAGGACTGCAAAGAAAGAACATTGTAAAGGTATCTTTTTTTTCCGTCCTAGATATATTATCATCAGGCTGTATTCTACGCTGTCTGCATCAGTTATGGAAAAACAGGTTTACGTATTTGTTTTTTGGATTACTGAAATAAATATTCACGGTACACCTATTATTTCATATAAAACATTTCGTACACTGCTACTCATTTTGATCGTAGTCTTTACTTCGGTTTCTAAATGTTCAGAATGTGACCTAGTCTTCCTTGTGGGCTCGGTTTCCTTTTTTTCTGGTATTCAAAACAATTTCAAGCTTCCTTACAGGAATAGCTATCGTCAGTAGCTTATACTAAAATAGATTTGATGTGATCTCAAGAACAATTAATGGGAAAACAAAACATGTACAGTAGCACTGCTCGTTTTTAAAATAGAGGTTGTACTAGGAGAATGTTTTTGCCTCTAGCAAAATTCATTTTGGTTCCTTCTAACGACGTTTTTTTCTGTTGGGACTGGACCTTTGCACACTCTTTCTGTCTTGTAAGACAATAATATTCCACAGTACTTGTGTCCTGTTCCACAGTCTATCGATCGCTCTCTTCCGTCAGTTTTTATTCTTAAATGCACTAGGGTTGAGCCAGATACATAACACACTAATTAGGGCAAGAATGAAGCTCTCATGCAATCTTGTACCGATAGCAGATCAATTAATTGAATGTACTGTAATGCGATACATACTATTATCTCGCTGGTTTCTGACCTTCGACTGCATGTTCCAGATGAGAAGCATGTAGATTTATGCTTTTTCTGGTCCGAACACATAGAAAGTCTTTCAGCGCTGGAGGCTGGAGTCGTGTATTCCGCAGACGATTTGGAAAAAATAAAATCGCTTACGGAAATGTAGACTAAAATTTTCAAGTCGGAAAACGTTTAACAAAAACCGCTACCAAAAGAACCCAACACAGAATTTAACGAAGATCTGCGAAAATCAAAGTATTTTAATAAAACCAAGCAACCACCTTGACTCCATGTGAATGTATGTAGATTTTGAAGTTAAATTCATGTGTGGTACAGAGAGCGTGGGTGTACTGAATGGAGACCCGTTTAAATTATCCCCAGTGAGTGGGAGGGTGCCATGTAGAGAGGCGCAATCACTTTCAAACTTTTCAGATATGTTTTCTTACCTGTAAGAAAGCACAATAATTGAGACAAGGGGCGGGATTAGAAATACCTGTCCAACAACCCTCACTGACGGCCCTATCTGTAGTCCAATAAAACCGACTTTAGTCTTTAGACTTTAGTCCAAGAACGATCACATCAAACCACACATAGTGGAGAAATATTGAAGAGCCATTTGCGTCGTACAAATTTTAAAGACATGAGGGCGTTGTGGCCGAAGAGGCTGTTTATTGTCATAGCTAGTGTAGGAGCAGTGCTTTTTGTAATAAATACAAGAGAACGTGGAAACACTGGAGTGACAGAAGCGCAGCGAAATAACGGAGACTTTGACTCGGAGATCTTGAAAAAACTTGATGAATTGGACGCCAGCATTAAGGAGCTCAGTAAGTTTTCGCACAGACCTCTCCAAAAATAATTTCGCTTTTATGGACACTACAACTATACTGATAATACGTTGTCTTATTCAAATATGTTGAATACTTCAACATTTCAATCACAATTTGAAAACAACAAGTTCTTGAAATAGGGGGTTCAAAGCCATTTCATGCCTGCTATATACTGCATTTGCGGTTCTACACTGTATGTGTGTATACTGTGTACTAACGTGCATGTACAACCACTTACATTATAAATTGAGGTTTAGATCTTCTTAGTGTCCTATGCGCTCATAAAATCCCTTCACCCGACATCGAAGAAATCTTAAATGTCTCTATTACTGTCTCTCAGGAAAGTCTGTTCACATTGAATTGTTGGAGATGGTGTTCTGAGTGCTTCTACAGTATAAACAAAAAACGCGATGGCTAGCGCTAAATTTTCAGTTATGGTGTCAAGGTCAAAATGGGTACCAATACTGTGTGCCTTGGCAGATTTAATTAAAATTCATTTTTTAATCGATGTATTAAAAAAAGGACATAGAATAATAATAATAATAATAATAATAATAATAATAATAATAATAATAATGTGTTCTCACTAACACAGGGTGAAAGTAAGGACAACTCTCATCCAAATAAAAGGGAGGCACCTCTCAGAAAGCTATGAATTGTTCCAGAGTAGGGTTGTTTATTCTTAATACAAATCCAGCTTTCTGTTTGCTTTTGCTCATTCTATTGTGTTTATGAATGCTCAGAATTCCAGTATGAAATTAATGAATGGCAATGCATTGATGATGAATATGAAAAAATGCATTGTAACAAACGTTTACTGTATTTCATGTTGACATGTCTAGGTGTCCATTATTTCAAGCTAATAACCTTTAGAATTTGGTGTGAAATGTATGGATAATTTAGTTGAATATTTACACTTGGAAGTTTGGCATTAATAAAAGTGTGTCTTCTCACCAGTTCATAAAGGATTCATACTATAAAAATCATGGTGTATAACACGTCACTTGTTCTTGGAGAGCACATGTCCTTTGTCCCTAATACAAAATAACATGAAAAATTTTCACAACAGTACCTGATGTGAACTTCATCTAGGTTGCTTTTTGCATAGAATAAAGAGCAAACATGTTTTTGCGCAAAAGCCTGTCTCCATTTTATGAATTCACAGCAAAAAAAAACTGTTAAAATAATAATTGGTCATGGTGATACAATGTCAGATATACAGTATCAAAGATGTCAAATGAAATAACCTAACATCTGAAATTAGGTCTGAAATAATTTATAAAGACAGATAACCCAATAAAGAGAAATGTTACAGTGTAACCCAAACCCATTTTTTGGTGGTGTTGTAAATCACTGTTACAGAGAGACAAGAAAGATAGAAGGAGGTAGACATAGGACTATGTTTCAGAACGGGTACTTTCTAGAGAAAGATATAATTACCTATATGTTGTAATATAAAGATCTGTATTCATCAAAATACACGTGTTAATTGAATTTCACAACTGTAAAAAAGGAAGAAAGAATGTATGCAAAAAGGTGTAAAGTTTATGGGACATTTCAACTTTTCCTATGTAGATTGTTAAGGATCAATAGGAATAACAGCAGAAATAAAAATTGTAGACATGGTTAAACATTGCCTTCTTACCCAATTTGAGAAAATATTTGTATTGATCTAACCTTTTCAAACAACGAAAGCACAGTGAGGGAAATTGAGATGAGAGTGCCATTAGAGAAATAAGATCAAAACGGTGTCCTTTGAATGGCAGTCCACTTGTGTTGCGTGCAAATCAAATTCCTACAAATCCAGGAAAGCTGGCTATGAAGAAATGAGCCAGAGAAGCAAGATGTGTTAGTATAGTAATGAAGTCAGCCATAATTGGATGTCAAGTGTATAGAAGCAGAGAAGAGATTTGTCTGTAGTGTATGGAAGCCCGTTTCCGCCAGGGAGTAAAAAAAAGCGCTATGGTATCTCAGAATTCCGACTTAGTATCTTAGAATTCCGACTTAGTAACTCAGAATTCCGATTTAGTATCTCAGAATTGCGACTTAACAACTCAGAATTCCGACTTAGTATCTCAGAATTGCGACTTAGCAACTCAGAATTCCGACTTAGTATCTCAGAATTGCGTGACTTCGAAATAGCCATATTTCATTGTCTGTCCTTTTGTTAATGTAACGGATTCGGGTTCTAGTGCTTGTGCCCTCGCCGCTCCCACCCTAGCTCGTGCCTCGCTGCACTTCTGAGATACTAAGTCGGAATTCTGAGTTGCTAAGTCGCAATTCTGAGATACTAAGTCGGAATTCTGACTTACTAAGTCGGAATTCTGAGTTGCTAAGTCGCAATTCTGAGATACTAAGTCGGAATTCTGAGTTACTAAGTCGCAATTCTGAGATAGAATAGCGCGTTTTTTTTTTACTCCATGGCGAAAACGGGCTTCCATAGTAGTGTGATTAAATCAAAAGTTAATATTTAAATAATATTACAATCAGTTAAGCAGTAAGAAGGAAGGTGCAGAGTCCAGAGTGAGGCCTCGTTTGCTGAATGATCTCTTAGCTGCCTTCTTCAACAGGCACAACCGCTATGAACACAAACAGAGAGCTCTCATTCAAGAGACCTTTGCGAGGTGCGTTTGGAAATACACAGCACCTGGAGATGGTGGGGATTGAACCCAGGACCTCATACATGAGGAGCATGCACTCTACTCCTGAGTTACATCCCCACTGCATACCTTTAGGTTAATTGTCTTCTGGGAAAATGTATCCTGGTGTGAGGGTGCGTGGGTCTGTGTTTGTGTCTGTCTGCCCTGCGATGGACTGGCGATCTATCTAGGGTGTACTCTGCCTTGCACCTGTTGCTTGCTGGGATAGGCTCCGACTCCCCTGAGTCCCTCAATTGCAAGAAGCAGTTACAAAAAATGGATGGATGGGTTAGTAAAACCATATAAAAACATTGTGTACAGTTTTGATCAATATTTTACAAAAAACAGATTGTTGCTCTGCAATCAGCCCAATGAACAGCAACCAGATACAATTCAATTCAAGCTTTATCGTCCACTAGGGGAAATGTGTTTTACGGCACAGTCAAACACAACACAATGACAAATAAACATCATCAAAAGGGAAGAGGGTACAGTACTGTTACAGGAGAAAAGAATCAAGAGACAAGGTGGTTAATTTAAGAGTGTAATTGCAGTGGGAATTAAATATTTCCTGAGTCTGTTGGTTTTACACCTGGGGGCCCAGAGGTGTCTCCGAGATGGGAGAAGCGTCAATTCGCAATGGTGGGGTTGAGTTGAAACATTCTGGGGTTTAAATGAATGTTCAGTATGGACAAGCTCCAGGAACCCTTTTTTGAAGCGAGAAGATGATAATGATACGTGGTACCAGATACTATCTCCGGATAGCCCTGTGCTTGAATTTCAATCAAAATTGAACAAATTGGGGGTGATATTAGATCCAGGCCTGACATTAGTCTCTCATGTGCAGAATATTGTAAAAACATCATTCTTCCATCTTGGAAACATCGCCAGACTGCACTCTATGTTGTCTTTGACTGTCACTGAAAAGCTGGTCAGCACTTTTGTTTTTTTACTCTAGTCAGGCTTGTCTGCATTCTGTGGGTGACAGGACAAAGCATGTAACACCGGCTTTCATGCCAGAGGAGAATAAGACAGCAATGCCACAGATGTTCAGCAGCCATATCGCCCATATTGCAACTCAAAACAGATAACCACTGAAGGTCAGCAGGTGTGAGCCTGGTCAGTACCAGCATGGGAGACCTCCTGGGAAAAACTAAAGTTGCTGCTAGAAAAGGTGTTAGTGGGGTCAGCAGGGGGCGCTCACCCTGCAGCTTATGTGGGTCCTAATGCCCCAGTATAGTGACGGGGACACTATACTGTAAAAAGACGCCTTCCTTCAGATGAGATGTAAAACCAAGGTCCTGACTCTCTGTGATCATTAAAAATCTGTTTCTCGAAAAGAGTAGGGGTATTACCCTGGCCCCCTGGTCAAAGTTCCCATTGGCCTTTACCAATCTTGGCCTCCTAATAATCCCCATCTATGAACTGGCTTCATTACTCTGCTCTCCTCCCCACTGATAGCTGATGTGTGGTGAGCCTTCTGGCGCACTATGGCTGCCGTCGCATCATCCAGGTGGGGCTGCACATTGGTGGTGGAGGTGAGTCCCCATTACCTGTAAAGCGCTTTGAGTGAAGTGTTCAGAGTTATATTTAAGGAATTATATAAGTGCAAAGAATTATTATTAATTATTATCTTGCTACATGCCGCAGCTCTGGGATTCTGCCCCCAAGGATATCAGAGAGTCACCTTTCCTGAGTGCATTTAAATCTAGACTCCAAATCTTTCTGTTCATTAAGGCTTTTACTTAATTTGTTTCTGTGACTACTCCATTTTCTAACTTCTGCTGTACTTCTAACTAGTTGTATCTCTTATACAGTATGTTTTGCTTTCTTTACTATTGTTTTTTAAACTGACTGTAATGCGCTTTTAGTTGCTACTTTTAAAGCTGCTATATAAAATAAAGTTTATAATTATACAAGTATGAAAACATCTCAAAAACAAAGTCAATTCAATGGACAAATTTTCAATGAGTGATGAAAAATGATCCAGTGAAGAAATCCCAGAGGCTGAACTCCCTAGGTCAGCTGAGAAAGTTTGGTGTTAAAGGGGAACTGCATTCCCCATTTCTCAACTGGTTATTAGATGGCAGTAACAAAATAAATGAATTGACATTACAGAAACATTTTACAAAGTTCGAATTAAGCACAAAATTGTTAACCTTGTAAAAATATTGTTAAGTCACCAACAAATAAGTACAGGTTGTGCAGCAGATGTTTCACCGCAGAAATGTTCCAATGTGATCTGCCTGCAGAGTTAACAAGTAAGTAGTATTTGTTGGCAAAACCATGTTGAAATCGAACAATATTTCTATTGGATTAAAAGAGATGTACTCACAAGGCTGCCTGTTTACAATGTATGGTAATCGCATCCCCAGAAGTTTTGTTGTCTCGTTCTGAACTGCAGAATATAGCGCATAAAGTACCTGGAAATTTTGTCTAGCTTGTGATGTAAAGTGGAGGTTTTAAAAGTTACGGTGTACATTTTACCTTTATTGTGGTTTGAAATGCTGATTCTTTCTAACCTCGAAATATAAAAATACCATTGCAGTTCCCCTTTCAACAGAAAGGAATGACACACTTCTGTAGAACTGTGATTGAGAAAGTGGTCACCTTCTCGATATCAATGTGGTACAGCAATACAACTGCCCAGGAGAGGAAACAGCTGGAAAGAGTCGTACAGTACGCACAACATCCCAGATCAACAGACGCGATCTTCCCTCTGTTGCTTCTATTTATAACAGCAGCATCAAACAGCTGAGATGGGGTCCACAGACCCCTTCCCTCCTGCCAGCTCCTTTTTTAAACTTCTCTCTTCGGGGAGAAGGTTTCAAAGCATCAAATATAGCCCTGCTCGGTTCTGAAATAGCACGAATCCAGAGGCCGTTGGGCACCTGAATGCATAGATCTTGGATGCAGCAAGTATTGGATGGGAGAGATTCTAAATATACTTAAGTGGAATAGACCTTTGATTGATTGATTGAGTAAAATGTACTGTGGATGTGTAAGTGTAATGTGTGTTTTTTATCTAGGTTGCACTGGAACAAATTCCAATTAACTTTCTTGACATGGCAAAAAAATATTAAATTAATAACAAATGTTAATTAATAATTAACAAGTGGAAACTTTGTTAAAGCATTTTTAAAGTGAGAAAAGAGACACTTCTTTATCCTAAGGGAGCATGGAACAGGCTGCCTAGTTATGCTGTTGAACTTGATACTATTGCAAGAAAAAGCCTATTGAGATCTTTGGATCAATTAGCTACTAAATACTGAAATAGCTAGATGACGCCAAATGGCTTCCTCTCATTTGTAATCATTCTCATGTTCCTTCTTTTGATATCAAGTTTTTATTTACCAGAGCATTATTTTATATGCCTAGCCCAAATCTGCCATTGGATATCAGATTTAGAATCTGCAATTGCTGGGCAGGTTGACATTTGTAGTAAATATGATCCCAAATGTCAGTAATAAAAAGGAGTTAATAATTAACCAGTGAAGACTATGTGGAAGCTTAGCACAATATCATCCTACAAGTGTGAAATTCAGTGTTTGTTCTAAGTAGTGTTTGTTTTACTTCAGGGCTGTTATACTGTAATATTTATTTAATTTAAATGACATCTGAACTATTTTCTTTGGTTTTGGCATCTACTGTGTAATCTCTTCTTCCCTCTGGGGTATAATAACATAAAGCAAATCTCTTCTCTATACTCATTCCATGTTGTTTTTAAAAATCATGTCAACTCTGTCTACTGTAGCTCATTGACTTCACAACTTTCCATCGGGACAATATGACTTGCGTTTGCTTAAATTGTTGTGTAGATCTAGGCTTACAGTGCTTAGACGATCAACACAGTTTATAATCATAGTGAAGAAAGCAATCCAAGGGAATTAAATGGTGATATGCAGTAAAGCAGTGAAGGTCAGAGATGAAGATTTACTACCGATAAATTCTCATATCAATTACCTACTTTTCAATGTCAGCACACATACTGTAACTCCCACAGATTACAATTCAAGTGACACACAGAGGGCGTAAGTGTAAGCAATTATTATTATTATCTCTGTCAGACGTCATAGTGCTGTGACCATAAAATGCCATGTCTCTCTGTGCCTTTCCTCTCGGTAGACAAACGATTGCATGAAAAGGAAGAAAAGGTGGAGGAGAAAGCTGAGGAGAAAAAGGCAGAAGGAAAACAGGAGCAGAAGGGGTTAAAAAAACTGTTCCCTGAGTCGTACCTCTTTCAGAAGTGGGGCGATCATTTGTCAGAAGAGGAGCAAAAGGAAGCTCAATCGTTGTACGAAAGATATGGATACAATGTGTTTCTGAGTGACAGGCTTCCACTGGATAGGAATCTCTCTGACACAAGGAACCCCAGGTACAGTATGCTGAGCTTTGATACCTAAAGGCTTGCTCTCCTGTTGACAAAGGTCAGTGACAGTTGTGATTGTTAGTAGGATTTTCACTATTTTCTTGTTCATTGCCAGCTTGCAATTTAATCCTGAAGTGAGGACACCGAGGTAGCAGGAACAATGAAAGATGAAAAGCAAAACTTGCTTGTAATATGATCATTTTGTGCATTGATAAATAGAGTCCACATGTGGTCTTATAACTTTTTATTATAACAAAAGATGCCTTTTAACTTCATACTTATTGGGGTTTCCAATGGTACAGTGTAGTTTACTGCAGGAATCAGACAAAAGTTTAGAATTTTAGGAACTCTAATCTTCAACATATACTCCCTGCAACATATACCCCCTCAAGATGTCATAGAAGGTTTAAGTGTAGCACAGACTTCACATAAAAACTCCCACTATGTGTTAAGGTAGTGATTTGTCTGAATTTAACATTTTGTATGATAAGATCATTAACCATTTGTGTTGCATTATTGTGTTTTATGCTTTTGTGGAAAGTGTCTTACAGTGCTTACAATTACCTGTTTCTTACAAACAGATGGGATTGTAAGTTATGTTACCATTTGGTATTACGTGTTTCTCCACAAAAACAAAAAGGTTTTAACCTGGGTTTATAAAATGAAAATGCCACCAAAGAGCCGTTTTCAAAGCACTGTGTGTTGAAAGTGTCTGATTTCTTCTATGCATGATGATTCCCGAAACATTCACACCATAAGTTTTTTGTGTTTTCTTGTGAGACGTGAGTTTCAAGTGTTTCTTTTTATGTTTTACATCATTACCATGAATGGAATTATCCTTTCCCTTCTCTCTGGATGTTCTTTTTTTAATTCTCTGAAGGGATTCTGCCATACTGTATGTGCCGGCATGTACACATAGTTTGTGCTGTATCAAGTAAAACATGTTCATTGAGGCCTGTAGGGCAGGGGACGTGTAGTGAAACCAGATGGCAAGTCTAGTAAACCTGGGAAGATCACGCGTGCAGTCTGAACTCCAAGCAAAAGTTCGCAAGGACTAACGCCATCCAAGAATCAGATGCTTTGCAAATGTTTTTAAGTACACTAAGTTCTGGCTTAATATGATTGGTCAAGAGGAAATGGGAGTAAACCAAGGGGTAGCTGCAAAGGTGGAGATGGGGTGGAGGAGGGATGAATGTGAAAAAGTGTAAGAGGAGGTCTGTGCAAGAGTTATATACATAGCGAAAGTCGGTAATGATTGCAATATGCTGTACAACAGCTGGATGAGATTGGCCTGTCTGTCGTCATCCCTCTTCAGTTAAGAAATTCCATTTAGGGACCATGCAGGCCAGATATCGGAGGGTATAACTCCACTTTCGGTGGTTAAGTACGGAGAACCAATGGGCTTTGGAAGATTCCAGAAGATCTCGAGTGAAAGCTTCTTCCAGTAGTGTCACGATTGTAATCCTTCCCGCTTAAGGGCGCTCCGGCTCGTTCACTTTTTAGTTGATTTTGTGTACCTGCTCCCCGTTCCTGCCTCCCTACAAAAGCCAGACGCTCACTCTGTTCCAGGCTCTGCGTTGGTTTCCTGAACCAGCCGATCCCTGGTTCCGGTCCCCCTTTTTCTTCCCCGACCCCTCGCCGGATTCCGCTCCGGCTTTTAACTTTGTTTTGTTCGTCTTGGATCTATCACCCGGCTCTGGACCTTTGCCTGCACTGGTCTTCCCTTTGGACTCCCTTTTGGACTGTTCGCCTGGACCACGTCCCCCGTAGCACTTTTTTCACGCCACTCTGGTTCCTCTTCTCCTCCCTGTGTGTGTTCACTCCCTTCCGGATTGTATCCTCTGCATAGGGTCCAGAAAGAGGCTTCGTAACAAGTAGAGGAAGAGCAGAAGGAGGTGGAAGGGGTGTATACGGCAGAGTGATGAAAGGTTGTGAATATGAAGTGACTCTTCAACAAACATGCCATTATTTCCATTATACTACTGCAAATACTCCTGCTCAGGACTACACACCTGTAACAGCCCCAGAAAACAAACACATTCTAAGTAGACATGACGCAACTATCCAATGACTTCAGCTGTTCTACTAATTTTTAATATTGAATCACGTGAATGGTTCAACTGTATTATAATGGTATTGTAAATCAGCAATAAAATGATATAATTAGGATTTTCTTTTAAAGCTAAATCTCTAGACTATTTTGATCACAAGATGATTTCTCATAGGATCTTGCTTCATTCCCTTGACACTTTTATTTAAATATTGCTTTTGAGTACATAAAAAATGACATTAAAAGTTTAAAGAAATGGTTGATTGAAATCCTCACATCAATTAACTGCTGGAAACTTAATGAGCTAAAAAGTTTGATCTCTTTTGTAAACTGTTACAAAAAAGATTAGAACTATAAGCACTATTCGATGTGTCAACGAAAGAGATGCCCTTGAATTTAATTTTGTGGATATGGTTTTAAGAAATAAAGCAATTGATGCCGTTAAGGAACCAACTTTGTGAATCATGTTTCTTTCAACAAAGATGTCAAAAGAAGAAATATCCCAAAGACCTTCCTTCACTCAGTGTGGTGCTGATTTACCTGGATGAAGCTCTGTCAGTGATAAAGAGAGCAATTCGCAGCATCATAGACAGAACACCTGCTCACCTCCTGAAGGAGATCGTGCTTGTGGACGACAACAGCTCAAATGGTTTGTCTCGGGTGTGGACGTGGGAGTGGTCTTTGGGTTTTGTGCTAAAACATTTGCTGATCGTGTCTTCTAATCACAAGGCCATTTTGTATTGTATAGTCTTACTGCCTGCCTGTATCTGATCAACAGAGGACCTGAAAGGGAAGCTTGATGATTACATCCACCTGATCCATGAGAAGCACCCAGGGTTGGTGAAGACAGTGAGACACAGTGAACAGATGGGCCTGACACAGTCACGGATTTCTGGGTGGAAAGCCTCTACAGCTGACGTTGTAGCCATTTTGGATGCCCACATAGAAGTTACTGTGGAATGGTGAGATGCAAATATTACATGGATTACTAGGTTCATGTTTGAAATCCATAATGGTACTGTAAAGACCAGTTTGTTGAAATGATCTTTGATTGGGTCTCGTAAGTGTGTCTTGAGATTTCGGACAATGTTTTGAATTTGCAGATTAGTTTTTTCTTTCTCTTTATACCGTTACCACTGGCTTTTATCACTGTACCTTTACAATGTTCAAGTCAACAATGGAGAAGTGAACACAACATTGCCATTTTACTGAACAATAAAACCAATAAATTATATGATTGAGCATAACTGTGGAACAGTTCAATAGGGAGCTTGGCATCTTGAACTGAAATGGTTAAGAATGGTCCAAGAAGGATTTCTTATCCAATGTAATACACTTACATGATGATATTAATCTAGTTGTTTTGTTTTTAAAAAAAAAGCAGGACAGACTAAGAGAAACAAGAAGATTAACAGTTGAAGACTCATAGCTACAGTGAAGTGTGGGACCGTTCAAAATACAGTTCCTTGCAATTCAGACCCTTTAAACATTTTCAAATGTTGCTCGGTTTCAGATGATACTTACACATCTTTTTCCAGTCAGTATTGTTATTGCAAACCCACATGCTCAAACAGAAAATTAATTATTTGGCAGCAGATATCTTCAAGAAAGTCAAAAACTGAAATATGCTGCCTGTATAGGTATTCACACCCCGGTGCTCTGGTAGCTTGAAGTTTACATAGGTGTAAGAAATTGCCTTAACAAAGATATAATTGCCTTACTATTGGCCTATGCGCCATTGAAGTGAGAGTTACATTCACTGGATACAAACCCCAGTCTGTTTAGGGATTATTGGTCATACAGTAAATCAAAAGTAAAGGTATAAAAATGTGAGTTAGCAATAAAAATACTGATTAGAAAAAGATGTGTAAGTAATGTATCATTTGAAAACCTTTAAATGGTCTGAATACTTTTGCAAGGCACTGGACATCTTCACATCCTACAGTGCACCATATCCAGTAAGTTAGCATCTTTAGGTACTAAGACTAGTACAAATCAGATGTTTGATAGGTGTAAGTCATACGTGTTATGAAAACTATAGCTGGACCTACATGTCACGGACGTCCAAAGGGACTAACCGTGAGGAGTAGGAGAGTGGAAAAAGACCCATATGCGTAGCGGCGAGACGGGAAAAAGGCCCGGGCTCATTAGTGCAAAGAGTTCAGGAATGCCGTATAGAAACCTATGCCCTCAGGGAGCGGACGTGGGGCGCCCTAGTGCTAGGCGGGTCTCAGGACATCCGAACGTCAATGGTGAGCCAGGACAGAGTGCAAGACCCGGAAATATATAGCCCAAGGGAAAGAGAGGGACAGGAAGGACAGCAGACCGGAAACAAGGGACAGGACAGAGAAGGAGTGCCCTCTGGCTGCAGAGGGCATGACACTACAGTTCTGGAGAATTTTCTCTGTGTAACCATATTGTAGGAGATGATCAGCAGATATGGTTTATTTGAAAAATTACCCGTGTCAGAGGATAATGGGCAGTAGAGCACAGGATGTATTTAGGTTTTGAGCAGGCTTTTCATAAAGTTCTATATACTGTAGGGTGCATCTCATACTGAATGCTGTAGACATGTTAATGTAAAAATAATCAGGGAAGAGAAATCATCATCAAAGCATTATTAGCATGTGTTACAGGTGTTTGTTAAGATCTCACCTGTTGAGATTTTCAGATAAGATAAGTAAGGGGAGTGGTGAACACTACAGCAGTAAAGGAAATACAAAAGGGTATTATTCAGCGTAAGAGGAATGTAGGTTCAGATAAGACAGATCTATTTCAGAATGGTTGAGCTGCTGCTATCAGGATAAGGTGATTATTTAAAAACCCGGAAGGATAAGGTAACATTCTTTCTACCTGTTTTCTCAATTCCCAAACATCTTTGTACTGTATACTAAAGCTCAATGAAAACGCAACACAGAATTTAACCACTTTATGGACAACTGCGATAAATTTGGGATAGGGCCAGCAATCCTATGCAAACAGTAGTGATCCAAGCCCAGCTGCAGACGTATTTGGGGCCTTGGTCAGTGTTAGGGCTCCATTTCTTTTCAATTTGTCAGTCAGCGTAATCACATTGGAATACCATAATGCTACACCGCTTACACCAAAGGTGCAAAGTTGCTTATGTATGTTCAATTTAGGGTGTGGAACGGTGGAATGGTGGCTAATACTAGTGCCTGCAATGGATCTGTGAATGCTGGTTTAGAGCCAAGCTTGGGCATTTGTGTGGAGTTCATAGGTTCTCCCCATTTTTTGCATACAGTAGTTTTTTTTACACAGAGATCTGGTTTTCCTTTTAGCTCCTAAAGGCATGCTGGCTAGATTCGATCAGCCATCCAACATTTACCTTTACTTTCTGGACCTGCAAAGGCCTGGCTTTCTTTCTAGGAGAACATCTGTGAGGTCTTAGCCCCATCTTGCACCCTAGGCTTCTGGGATAGACTGCCTTGTCTTGACCCTCAGCAGTATAAGTGGCTTTTTGATGACAAATGCAAGGTATAATACAGTATAATGTTTAGCATGACTGGGAGCAAAATGTGGCTAAGATCAAGTGCACAATTGGGATTGATTACATGTAAATACATTCCAGGCAATTATTAAATGGATTAAGAGAGGTCTTGTGATTTATATGACAAACCAAGACCTACTGCCAGTACATCCACAATCTTCACGCAGAGCTGTCATCGATGATTGTGTGGACTACTGGATACGTGAAAGACTGTGGGATGCTTTACCTTTCCTCTTGTGCAGCACCTGCTCCTGAAGGTTCACTGGTCAAGGCTGAGTTCAAGTCTTGACATCTGTGTTTTTATTGTTCACACATGGTATTGAATGTGGTACGGGGGCCTTGCTCGTGTAGTATTTGGATGAGGTTACTGGAATGAAAGGAATCCTGACTGTAGGGATTTCTCAATGGATCGCTGACCTACCTTAATGACTTGGAGAGGTGTTATTAAATGTAAACGTTTGATGGACTGTGTGTTTTATAACCCCAGTCCCTTTCCTGGATGTGATCTGTCTTGTAGAGAGTTTCTTTTTTCTTTCTTCAATAAGTCCAATGTTGTTGAATGGGAGTGGTTCATTCTATGAGGAACGGTTCTCACAGACAAGTCGCTTTTAAGTATGGTGACAATACTCGGATAACCAAAGAATGTGGCACTGCTCATACCTGGAAATTTTGTGATGTGAGCTGGAAGTTTCATTGAGGTTTGAAATGCACTCATCAATGTCAATTCTTTCTAACTCTGAAATATAAAAATAGCTTTGCAGTTCCCCTTTAAGGCTGTAACACAAGTTAAGAAGGGGAAAACATAAACAAGATTATTGCACAAGAAGAAGTCTAGAAAAATTATAGACAGTTAAGGAAGGGTAAAATATTACTCTGGATTTAACTGGAACAAATGTATTTAATATAATACTTTGTATATTATCATGTAAATATCCTCTAAATAATCTGCAAGTCACAGATTATCCTTGGTGAATGGGTCAGTCAGAAGTGTGTCTCATTAGTGACAGCAGGCTTAAAGTGGTGAAAAATGTGGTGTGTTCATGTTTAAATGTTGATACAGTTTTATTGTTACTACTGGGCAAGATGGTTTCGAAAGCCCTCAATGTTCTTTACTTGTTTTGCATACTTATTTGTGTTGCTTTAGGCAATAATTCATTCTAATATTGTACATGTTTTTACATATTTCTTTGGCTGGACGTGAAATAATTGTAAGAGGGACAAAAGCTCACCTTAACATTCTCAGATAACCACCACTAAGGAGAGCTGACTTGGATTCCAATTACATGTAGTATTGCAAAATAGGTCAGGATTTCTTAGTGCTCTTTTCACAAGCGTGCATATAGTGACTGTGTAAATGTTTGTTTGGTTTTTTTTTGTAGGGCTGAGCCACTGCTTGCAAGAATAAAAGAAGATCGCACTGTGATCGTGTCCCCTGTGTTTGACAGAGTGAATTTCGACAATTTGGAAGTCATTCCTTACATTGCCGCTGCTCATGGCTTTGACTGGGCTCTGTGGTGCATGTATGAGTCCTTCCAGCCCAATTGGTACAAACTAATGGACGAATCCCTTCCAGGAAAGTAAGTCACTTACCACCGGCCGCTTCAAGGACAAAACCAGGTTCTGTAGGTTACAGAGAACATAATTTGATGGCAGCAAGGTGACATAGTCCTTAGTGCTCCTGTCTTGCATAGTGTTTGCACACTGGGTGTGATTTTGGTATGAGGTGGCTTTTGTGTGCAGCTTGCAGTTCACCCTGTTATCTGGATGGGTTTTCTCTGGAAGTTCTCCCAGAGACTGATTGTCTGGGCTCTGCATTGTCTATGTGTGATTCTGTGCATGCGCCCCGTGATAGGCTGGCATACTATTCTGGGTGTATCATCTCACACCCTATGGTTTCAAGACAGGCTCTGGTTAGCTGTGATCCTTACCAAGAAGATCTTCTGAATTTCACATTTGGATATACTTCAGGATTGCACATCTCCAGCTCTGAAGCAGGGTGGTGTCTTTTGGTTATACATTCAACCTCTGTTCACGTCTTTGTTCCCTGAAGTCTTAAAATCATAAATGTATTTTTGCTCTATTTAAACTCTTGGACAGCATCCATAAAGAGCTAGGACTGTAAACCACTCCTACAGTATCTGTCTTTCAACTGTGAGACGCACTCACATCAGTCAATTCTCACATCTAAATCAACAACCCGATTATCACTGAACACTTGTTTTGTGTTTTTGACAGAAGCCCCTCTGTTATGGGAATTCTTGTTGTAGACAGAATATTCTTCGGAGAAATTGGCACTTTAGATGGTGGAATGAAAATCTACGGTGGAGAAAATGTGGAGCTGGGAATCCGTGTAAGTCACCACAAGATCACAATAATGCCAACATCTTTACATATTACAATATGCTCTATGCATAATGTGCTTTAAACATATTACTAAGCCTATGAATGTATTTAATTATTTATGGCTTAAAATAATAAGCCATATAATAATATGAAAAATATTATTATTAAGACAAATAATATGAAAATACACGAAAATGACTAAATATTTCAAATGTATTTTAAACTTGACTGCTTTTGCATTAAGCATCTCAAGCTACACAGACCCAGTTTACCGACATTTGTATCTCCCACAATCCTTCCTGATGTTCCAGCTCTTTTTAAGAAGTATCAGGGCTGTGTTTCACAAAGAAAGAATGCTGAGGTCTGTAAGGTTCAATGAGCCAGCTACAGAATGTAGCAAATCCTTATGGTATTGAAGCGACAAATGTTTTTTAGCATTTGGCCCAGTTTGTTGTTCAGGTGTGAAAGCATGCTTCCCTATAATCTTTTTGGGTTCTCCAACTGTTGGAAATCAAGTTTTGTCATAAAGGAGTAATACTTCACACGGTGTAAAATAAGAAAATAGGACACCTCCAATAATTCTTTCCTGCTAACATTTAAAAATGTTGCAGTTGCCTTTGGAAATGGTTTCAACTGGAAGAACCCAATTAAGGGAACTATCTGCCTTGAGTTTGTTCTAAGGTGGGGTGACAGAATACTCTTCTACACAGTCAGAAGAGTAGGGCTTCAAACTAATGGATTTTATCCCTACGTGGGGAATGAATGTATCCTCTTTCAGTGTATAATGGTGCATTGACACATTGCCAATTTCAAATCTCACATCTATTGTGATGACTTAGTGTTTTAATTCTCTTCAACCACTCATACAAAGTGGCCTGGAGTCCACTTTGTTCAATTATCCACATAAATATTTACCCTTCATGTGAAATTTATTGACAGCCCTCAGCTGTCAGATGTGAGAATGTACACATCTCTACACTTTACAGTTCGCTACACTTGTTGACCACTGTGGTTTCTGATGAGCTATGCGGTATTCATAAACAGATGATTTTGACATTTGGAAAGTGACTTACGTAAAATAATCTTCTTCAAATTGTGAATAAAACTGGAATACCAGAAAAGCTACACAGCTAGTCCTTCTCCAGCAATGCTGCTATAAAAATTGAAAAGTTATCAAATCTGACATTTTTGTAGTCACTAACACGTGCCTGAAACTGTCTGTCACAAGACATTTTAGACAGCTCTGCATTGCAGAAGTCACTGATCTGAAACTTTCAATTTTATGGGAGCCAGGACTGAGTTCCTGCAGGTTGTCCTAATTCATTCTCAGTAGTGCCCAGGTGAGAAATGAAGTCTGGGTGCACTGCGCTAGCATCTGGTCTTAATATCGAGTGGTGATCTCAACTTGGTATAGCAGTATGTGCCGATTCCTGACCACGACAGGTCTGTGTACCAGGTGCGTTTCCTGGTCACATTTCTGTGAAGATAAAAAAAAAACAAAAAAACTCATTGCCAGAGTAGGTGTGCCAAAAACACTGTACTGTGCTTTACATGACCTAGGTGTGGCTGTGTGGGGGCAGTATTGAGATTGTGCCGTGTTCCAAGATAGCTCACATTGAGAGAGCACACAAACCCTATCTGCCTGACCTCAGCATCACCATGAAGAGGAACGCACTGCGAGTGGCTGAAGTGTGGATGGATGAGTACAAGACCAACATTAATGTTGCTTGGAATCTTCCAATTAAGGTAATAACAAAAGCTGACAATTGTATTGATTGAGTACATCTATCCATACAGTATATTCATTTTCTAACTGCTTTATCCAATACAGGGTTATGAGGGAGCCAGAGAGCAACAGGTGCAAGTTGGGATACACCCTCAATGAGATATCAGTCCATTGCAGGGCAAACATAGACAGACAAGCACACACTCACACCAGGGCCAATTTTCCTAGAAGCCAGCTAATGTGCTAGTATGCCTTTGAACAGTAGGAGGAAACCAGAGCACCTGGAGGAAATCCATATGAAGACAGGGAGAACATACAAACTCCACACAGACAGCACTTCAGGAATTGAACCCAGGGCCCCAGCACTGCGAGGCAGCAAAGCTAACCACTGCTCCACAGGCTGCCCAAGTAAATCAAAAGCAAAAATAAAATAAATGCAATAGATGATCTGTGCACAGAAATGTCTTCAATTGAAAACTAAAAGAGAATACTAAATCCTCAAAAGAGAATACTAAATCAGAGAGTTGTGGCTTATTTAGACCAGGAAATCACAGACAAGGCCTTAACCTGTTTAGTTAAGCGAGAAGATGAATAGTGGAGAAATACTTTGATAGAAAGAGCAGTGAAAAAGCTTTTTGAAATACCGTTATTCAGTTAAAAATTATGTGTACTGCCTATAAAAACATGTGGATCAAAACTGTTTTGCTTCAAGAGGGTGAGTTTTGGTGAAGAACTAGTTTTTCAACACGATCACAATCTCAAACACACTCAGCTTGAATCTGCTACCTCAGAAAGAAGAGCAACAGGTTTTGTAACTGATGGGCCGATCATTCGCCCATGACTAACCTCATGTTTAATGAGATTAATGAGATGACAGATGATACATATTGAATGGACAAATACAGATGTAGATACACTGCTGGCACTGTAGAAAAATGCAGCTTGCGTGCAGGAGGGGGTATTTTCATTAAAAAAGTTTACAGTAAAAGAAAACATAAAAGAGGACTGAATTAAAATACAAAGTAATTAAATAAATGATGATGCACCTGGAACTCACAGGTATGGGATCTCCCTGTCTCTGGTTCCCTCCAGTGGAGGCAGCGTGCAGTTTTCCATTTTTAAATACACTTTGAGCATTGTGAAAAGAAAATCTGTTATACTGCGGCCGTTAATACTGATGTCTCATAGCTTTCAGGTCCTGGATTGGGTGTATTCTGTGTATTCTGGTGTCCAGCCTCTTAAGAAGGTTCTGGACAGATTAATTGGTGTGTCTAAACTGACACTGTGTGCTTGTTTCTGTGAGCTCACCCATGACACAGCTCTGCCCTGAACCCCTTGGCTTCTGGGATAGGCTCCTGAATACCATGACATTTACCATTCATGGCTTTTCCCACGACTGATGGTGGGTAGATGGATGAATGAATTATGCGGTGTGTTAGCAAATTGCAGAGCATTATCTGTCACATCTCAGATGTGAAATTTGGAAATGGCCTAGCTTCTAAGCGTATACTAAACTAAGCTAATATACTAAACTACATACATAGTTTAGTATATACTAATATATAGTATATACGTAATATACTCAACTAAATTGAACCGTATTACATTGCCATTCAATAACTGACAGGATTCATTCTTTCTTCCAGAACCATGGAATTGACATTGGGGATGTCTCTGAAAGAAAGAAGCTCAGGGAAAAGCTGAACTGTAAGCCCTTCCAGTGGTATATAGACAACGTCTACCCTAAGCTGGACCATTGGGAAGACCTTGTTGCTTATGGGGCTGTAAGTAGTCCTCGTCTTTGCTTAGAAATCTTCTGAACCTTAAAAAAAACTATATTTTTCTAATATACTGTAAATATATAGCCCAAAAGGTGGCATGATTGTTAACACTGCTGCCTCACAGTGCTGGGGCCCTGGGATCAGTTCATTGGGTGATATGTGTGTGGAGTTTGTATGTTCTCCCAACATTTGTATGGGTTTTCTCCAGGTGCTCCGTTTTCCTCCCACACTCCAAAGACATGTCAAGTAGGTTAGTTAGCTTCTAGGAAAATTGGCCCTGGTGTGATTGTGTCTCTGTGTGTGCCCTCCTATGGACTGGCGTCCCATCCAGGGCGTATCCTGCCTTGTCCCCAGTGTTTCTTGGGATAGACTCCAAGCCATCAGTCTGAATTGGATAAACAGTTTTTAAAAGTGATGAGACGTGAAATGATTGTATTGATACATAAGGTATGTGTGATATGACACATACTCGACTATAGTTTTCAAGCTTGGTAACTTCAAATCATTAGATGAAGAGTTTGACCCTGCTTATATTTTAGGACAATTTTTTTTGCTTTGTAAATTTACAGATGAAGAACACTGTGAAAGAGAATGTTTGTATCGATCAGGGGCCTGTTCCTGGACATGTACCTATTGCATATGGATGTCACTACTATGGTCCACAGGTAACTATTTACAATGTGCACTCCCAGTATACTTGACTGTATTTCTCACTAAAAATGTGTTTAAGTGTTCGGCCTCGAGTGCTCTCTTGTCTCAGTGGGAATCATTCTGGTGTTCAGATGTGAAGGAATAAGATATATTGTGTTTTTTTTGTCACCTTCCAGCGAGTATACATCCGTAAACACGGTGAAGTTTACATTGGAGGTATTAAGTCTCACAAATACAACAACAACAGATGTCTGGTTGACCCACGTACAGGCAGTACCCCGGGCCTGTATGAGTGCAATGTGGCAAAACAAAAAGGCTATAGCATCTACTGGGACTTTAAGCAGGTAAGGTCTTCAGCTTTTAAGTATGGGGTGGTTTAGAGTTTTTTTTTTCTTTCAATGGCACCATAAGTGTACTGAGAGACCTTAAATAAGCAACACATTTTATTGATTCCTTAGGAGCGGCCAATACTATCTGATCCCTGTGTGTTTTGCTTGATTTATGGATATGAAAACAGTTATCTGAGGGAGCTGCTGAAAATGAGCTAGATTGCATTAATAACTTCAGGCCTTTTGAATCAGAAATGCCCTTCTTGAGCCTACGCACACTGATAATCTGACCCCTGTTACAAGCTCATTCAGACTGAAAGTCTCAGAGTCATAGATACTCATCATCTGAAAGCAAGCATCACAAGCAAAGAAATCGTCTTTTTTTTTGTAAGTATACCTCTGAGTGCCTGATCTGTATGGCTCTAGTAATGTTAGCAATTATGAATGCTGAAAATAAGGACCCTGTGCAGGACTCAGGTAGGCTTGCTTATTTCCCTGAGTAGTAATAGGAAATCCAAATAGAAAAGACTACCAAAAAAGAAACACAAGTCCTAATATCCGAAATCTAAAGCGTAGGCGATAGTCAAAACCGGGAGGAAACAAAACAGCGACCAATCCCAAAACGCAAAGGCAGAAACGTGGTCAGAACCTAGCGAAAGTCAGGAATAGACCAAGCTATAGAAGGAGGGTACGCAACTAGGAAGCTCCAGGGAGAATCTGAAATAGTGAGCGATGGTATGGGGAAAAGAGGTGGGTTAAAGTAGTGACGGGAGTGAAAGACAAGAGGAAGATTAGTTGCGGCGTGAGCGTGCGCGTGGGAATGTGACGGCGTTTGTGAGAGCGTGTGGAATACGTGACAGGTAAGGGCGCAACCAGATCAAAAGATAACTGGACTGGCCTAGAAGGTTTTGACATGACCGAGAAACACTGGCAGTAGGGCCAGCAGCCATGTCACTCTGCAACTTACAACTGGCAACCCATTGAAGCTCAGCAGGTGTGAGCCTGGTCATTACCTAGATGGGAGACCTCCTGTGAAAAACTAAGGTTGCTGCTGGAAGAGGTGTTAGTGAGACCAGCAGGGGGCGTGAAGTCCATGTGGGTCCTAATGCCCCAGTATAGTGATGCCGACACTATACTGTAAACAAGCACCGTCTTTCGGATGAGATGTAAAACTGAGGTCCTGACTCTCTGTGGTCAGTAAAAATCCCAGGGTGTTTCTCAAAAAGAGTAGGGGTGTAACCCCGGTGTCCTGGCCAAATTACCCATGCCTCCTAATAATCACCCTCTATGAATTGGCTACATTACTTTGTTCTCCTCCCCCACTCCGATGGCATGCGGTTGGAGTATTCTTGGTTGCTTTTAATGGCAACGTCAGCTCAAAGATTTGGTTCAAACCACCTGTGGAATTACATTACATTAGTAATGTTCAATGTTTCTTAAAACTATGCAAGCAATTTCTTAAAAATATAATATCCTACACCCTCCATAGCATGGACGTTTCCAGGAATATGCATGATTTGACTGAAGATTTCAGAAAGAAAATTAATAAAGAGGTTTGCTGAATTATTTTTCCCTTGTATATATTTTTCTGTTCTTTTATTTTGCAGGGGAAGGCCTTGGCCAACAAAGAAACGCATAGATGTCTTGAAGTTGAAAAGGGAGCACTTGTGATTCAGAACTGCACAGGTCAAGGCTGGGAAATTCAGCACATTATTACAGACCTCTAATGGACACACAGCAGTTGTTGATGGCTATCGATATTGGATGAATTGTGCACCACATGTCTAAAAGAGGGGTATCTAAGAATATTACTTCATGGAACTTTTGGGATAAAATGTTTTGTTTTATAAGAAAAAAAAGAAAAAAGCTATTTTTATCGATGGTGTTTGTCCATTCATTTGGCCACAAAACGGTTTTTATGTACTGTTTTATTTTCTAGTCAACTTTTAGCATCTCCTGTATATTGTGGGTTTCAGGTACATGATGTCCCACAATCTCCTTATTAAGTCTATTTACTGTATATACTCTATATCACAAAAAGGTCACAGAGGTTAACTACCAGTGTGGCTGAGGAAAGGGAAAAACACAATTAGTGGCCACACAGTACACTACCACAATACAAGGTGTGACCCAAAAAGAAAAAGAATTAGAAAAGAGAAAATGAGAAGATTGGGAAAGATAGATGAAGGGAGCAGAAAAAAAAGGGATTTCAATACAAAAGAATCTCTTTGTGAAGGAAAACTTTGGTCAGGGTTTTAAGTGGATTCATTGGTGCTAAAACCAAGAGCTTTAAACAATGATGACTCTTATGGCAAAGTTTAGGAATTGCTTCCAATTAGACAAAACCAGGTGTCTGGCCAGTAAAGGGAAACGTGTAAGTATTGAGACAGGTGATATTTTTGCTGTGCATTACTGAAATTTGTATATCAGATCAATAGATAAATGTGAGACAAAAGAATAGAATGTCAGCTTTTATTTATGGTTTATTTTGTAAAAACATGTTAAGCCATGTTAGAATAACAATGTTTTGTTCGGAATTTCAGGTCAGCATAAGAATTGAGAAAAATCTATTAAAAGTACTGTACTGTTCATATTTGGTTGCATCCCCCTTACATAATAATCAATAATTAACTCATTACACTTTTATAGTGCTTTTCTGAACTCTCCACCACTACCAATGTGCAGAACCCACCTGAATGATGTGATGGCAGCCATAGTGCGCCAGTTTGCTCACCACACACCAGCTATCAGAGGGGAGGAGAACAGAGTGATGAAGCCAGTTCATAGATGGGTATATTAGGAGGCCATGATTTTGAAAGGCCAGGGGGAAATTTGGCCAGGACACAAGGGTAACAACCCCTACTCTTCTCAAGAAATGCCCTGGGATTTTTAATGACCACAGAGAGTTAGGACCTCCGTTTTACGTCTCATCCAAAAGGTGGTGCCTTTTTACAACATAGTGTCACCATCACTATACTGGGGCATTGGGACCCCCAGAGACCGTAAGGTGAGTGCACCCTACTGGCTCGACTAAAACCTCTTCCAGCAGCAAAAACCTTAGTTTTTACCAGGAGGTCTCCAATCCAGACACTGACCAGGCTCACACCTTCTGAGCTTCAGTGGGTAGTCAGTTGTGAGTTGCAGGGTGATATGGCTGCTGGCAACATGCAATAACTGCTTCACGTCTGTGATTCATCAAACACAGAAAGCAGGTTGAAAAAGAAAATTTAAAGTTTAATCAATCAATTTTACATTTACAATTTGCACAGAAATTTAATCATAGAGTTGCGAGAATAATGTCATGCTCTGGCTGGGACAGCTCAAAGACTGCAGTTGCCACGGGCGACCGCAACATTCGCCCGAGTGTTCGTCCTCCAGCTGAGCCTGTGAGACCGAGATCGGGACACATGTCTATCCATCCTTTTTCTTTTCAATCACACAGCAAACTACTAATAAAACCTCTGCTTAACACCCACTTAAAGGCTCGATTCATGGCTTATTCAGGGCTCTCACATTGAGCTACTGACTGAAAGGTGATCAGCTCTGTGTCCATCCAAACAAAGAAGGGACCTCTGTCAGGCACCTCTAAAACCATCAGTCTTCTCTGCTTGGAACCCAGGCAACCTACTGTACTGTACAGTAGCTGACCAGCCATGATGAATCTCTGTTTGTAAGGAAACCAGGCATCCTTGCTAACCTTGAGCAGTCTGGAAGATGTGGAAGACCCGGGCACATATGCTGCTGACAGCCTGGTCCACTTGAAACTCTGGGCAGCTTTTACTCTAACAACCAATCTGTCTGAAACACCCCAGTCAGCCCTTATAACTTTGGAGGTACCCGGAGCACTGTGAGTTGATCTCAACTTGCTATTTCACCGACGGCATAGCACTGCAGGTACTTGCAGTGTATCAGAAAAAACAATCAAAAATAATAGCATATATTTTTTAGATTTTACATCTGCTGTCTGTATTCAAGTATAAAGTCAAAAGGTGTATAGTGGACTACTGCCACCTGCCGAATGAAATAAGGAAAAATGAAGATTTGAAACATAGTTACAAGACTGATGCATAGAACAGTGGTTTGGGTTTATGGGGTATTGCTTTCTTTTGGGATGAGTGGGATGGGTACAAATGGGATGGGCTACATTTGAATCAGGAGACTGCTGGAGATGAGTAGCTAAGGAGTATTTAAACTACATAACTGGGGGACAAGGAGATAATAACAAGCCAAGAACCAGACCAGAACAAAAAGAAAAATAATACAATACATTAAGTCCATTATTATAGGCTTATATTTAAATACTAAAAGATACACCAACCTGAAGGTACTGCATTAATGGTAAGCGTTAATAATTGGCCAGAATTTCCCAAGAATGGATTAAATGCAATGTAAACAATGGTTGTAATGTGATATTTTTTAGGTATAAGTTAAATCTTAAAAGGTAAAATCTAAAATGATTAATTAACATTTTAGAAAAAATGAAGGAAAGAGACAGAGTTTGCAGTCAGTGAATTGGGAAAAGATGACTCAATTGAAGGATGATTGGAAAACATATTAAACATGAAATTGTGTCTTCTACAGGAGCTTGCTCAATATTTGAAATTTAAATCGGGAAGATACCTTTGTAGCTGTAACAATATACAGAATGCAAGTGATTAAAGAAAGCAGATTTTATTTTTTTTAATTCAAAATCCAAACTTTGACATTAAAAATAGTTCAATAGTTTCCCTTTAAGGAAAGTATATGCTTTGAAAATTCATTTTGTCCGGTAACAGCCTCAATGTCAGGTTTACAAATTGAACATTTTCTGTAGTTCACAGTCGATGACGTGTTTAATAAGTGCAATGAAATAAAAAGGTATTTTTTAAAACTTTATTTGTTAACATTTTACAAACCCTTTCCCTACTGCATCTTCTAGTAATATTTCATTACATCTTCTGAAACAGAAAAATTAACAGTTTAAGTAAAAAATAAGTAAAGTGTTGTCCAGGTTAGAACAGCTACAGTATTTGTGTAATTTTTGTGTATCAAGACAATTTTGCTACCTAAGAATGCTTTATGTATCTCCATGATGTCTCAGTGCATCAGTGTCAAACTGATGTGTCAAAATATTTTCAGTACCATAATAAATTTATAGATTACACATTCACAAGCTCATCATTTAGTATCCTTCAAAATTGGAATTGCAAAAACTTATGTACTGCATATGAAAATCATTATCACTAATTATATTTTATAAAATTAAAAAATATACACGTGTAAAATAAGCTGTGGAGAGATTTTGTCGTCATCTTAAAAAAAAAAAAACAACTCCCAAATATTAAAATTCCATGAGGCACATGTAACCACCAAATTGATTGACGTAAGTGTATTGTGGTAAACACACAGTCATCTTAAAAAATGATATTAATTTTGTAACATTATGCCTACTAAACTTACTTGAAATATTAAAGATTCTTTAATAAATTAAAGAGTCATGCATATATCCAAGGGTTTCAAAACAAATGACAATACACATATCAGAAACATTAAATTTCACAAATTCTACATTGAACCTAAAACCACTTATAATTATATGAAATATTTGTATCACCCAAAAGGGGAGTTAAAATATCTTTACATTTGTAAATAAAGCACTTTTTTGCCTTTGAGTGTTTTTGTCTTTAAACCTGTCGGCTTTTCTGTATGGGCTCTATTAGGTTGACCATAGAGTGCAATGTTTAACATCTGATTCTCTTCTTCTTCCTCAATCACCCTGCCCCACAGAGAATGCCACATTCTCAAGAGTTTCTTGGACAAAAAGGACACAACTTCTGCCTCTTCTGAAGGATCTTCATAGACTGGATTCCTCATTTCCTTAAAGGCCAAAATTAGAACAGCCTGGAAAAGGTTGATTAAAATGCAAATCATGACTACCATAAAAGATGTCAGATAAAGGCCCCCAAGAAACATTTGATTGGCAAACTCAGTGTTTTGAAAAGAGAGAACACAGTAGGACATAACTGTTTGTGCTGCATTATTGAAGCTGCAGAAATTCCAGTCATACTGGCCAAACACTAAGTATCCAAAGGCCATGTAAATGAAGAAGAACAGTATTGCTACAAGGGCCATAGAACAGACTCCAGACAGGGCTATCTGGATGGATCTCTGGGCAAGTCGAACACTATACAAACATGAAGCATAGCGGAGGGTTTTTAAGATGCTGAAAAATGCTAAAAGTCCTAAAGTGGTTTTTAGTGCCTTATCAAGAGAAGCCAGGACATGAAATGGTATAAATGACTGCTTATTGACTGTGTAAAAATGGAGCATGTCCGAAGATAGCCGTATCTTATACATGTAGAAGCTCACAGCTGTCAAGAGAACACAGTTCAAAATTAAGTTAATGTGATTTGTAATTTTTTTTATATATCTTCCCTTCTCCCATATAATTGTAAGGCATTCGTCAACTGTGTACACAATTAGAAAAACTGTTAACGTGGCAATTGAGACAGTCCTAGCACCAGTAAGATGTTCAAGAGACAACATTTCAAAGGAGGTGACTCTTACTGACCCAGTGATGCCGCCTGCTGGATTCCATTCAAATATAATTGAAATGGGGCAGAATAATCCAGCATCAGGGTTGAATATTGTAAGTTCCAAAATGACAGCCGAGGTCCAGTAATCAAACCAATTATTGGTCTTCAGATGCAGAAGCTTTTCCAGGGAATTATTAAGGCTTAAAGAAGGGAAGAAGTATACTGTGTAGCCTCCTTTTGCATAAACCTGCTGCTCTCCATGACTATAATAATTCCATGGGAAAGAGTCTTTTTCATAGACCCATCCAGAATGCCTGCTAATATTTTCAACTGCAGTCTCATTGTCCAGAATTTCCCATGAATAGCTGTAATTCTTTTTATCTTCCTGGTCCTTTCCATATTTAGGATGGTGACTGACTTTTGTGACTACAGCTTCATAGAAAGTTGTGTAATGATTTGCACTGAAGAACTCTGTCTGATTTGCTCTAATTTGCCTCATTCTTGGCAGACCAACAATAAAGGAATTAATTTCTGCCCGGAAAAGAGATTGGTGTGGACTCTGCAGCAATGGTAAATAAATGTTGTTCACCCATGTGTAGAATGAATTAATATTATCAACTTGGCTTATACCCTCTGAAAATGTCTTTTTAATTAAGGTGTTATAAAAGAATGCTGCTGTGTTTTTGTTTGTGTATGTTACTTGAAAAACCAAAAAGAGAAATATGAAATGGCTGCATATTCCTCTGCAAAAAGTGAATGCTTTAATTTTAACAACATCTCTTCTCCGCATGACTTGGATTTCATCTTCTTTCAAGGGTTGATACTTTCTGCTGTTGCGAACTGTCGTCAGTTCATAGTGCATGTCTCTCATGTCCTCAGCTGTCTCTGGAACCTGGTCAATGTCAATTTCTCGTACTGTGCATGAACTGGGCCAAGGCAGGTCTTTACAACATCTTGGCCAAAAGGAAAACAAAGCAGATAATAAGGCTACCTTTAGAGGCTGCAAAATCAGTATGCTCTGAGCCATTGAAACTACTGAGGCAACAAACCATTTCAGTGACATGTCTGGACCATATGATAGACCATAGACAACTATAAAGAAGCCTGATACACCTGTACAGATGATGGTGAGGCACCATGCAGCACATGAACACCAGAAGGACAGAGATGCATCTGAATTTTTAGCAACGGTTTTGAAACGTCTCTGTAGCTTCCTTACTTTTGAGTCCTTCTCCACAGCTTCTTTACTTGGAGGCGTGTTTATTTTTCTGTGAACTGTCTGCTTGCTTCTTTTTTTAGGGTTGAAGGAACGGTCATCCTCATCTTCTTCAAAAATAGAATCTGTAATGTGTGATGGCAACACACAGTTTGAAGCTGTGGTCAGCTCAGTAGGAAAGCCTGATGTATTAGTGTTCATTGAGGAAGACTTTACACTCCTTGAGTCAGAGCTCTGCACAGTCTTGACATTGTCTAAATCAGCAATACCTTCTGATGTGTGCCATCTCTGAAGCCGCTGTCTCCAATTTCTTGGTTGAGAAACAGCATTGCTCACTATCCACTTATTGATTGACCGTGCTTCCCCACTCATCTCTGCTAGGTATTCTGCCACACAATGGAATGGAGAGTATATGGGAGCACTTTCATCTTTTTCTGCATACTTAAATAAACTGCTTAAAAGAAGATGTACTGGTACTGTCACTAAAGAGCTCTCAATACCAACCATGACAGACTGCAAGAGCTGTAATTCACTGTACCCTGTATATCTCTCTTTCTTGAACAGTACAATACTGGTAACCAGACTGCTCATCAACATTGCCAAGCAACATGAGAGTCGCTGAAGCCGGGTGAATTTGCTCCGAATGACTTGTGCAAATATGGAAAACCACAGGCTATTGTCCTTCAAGTAGATCGAAAGCAGTATTTCAAAAACATCATGCCTTCGTACTGCAGCCTCCCGATCTGAGACTGTAAAGGTGTGGTCTAGGTTCCCATCTCCTTTGTTGATGGCAAACCATCTCCGACACAAGAAGTACCATGTCTGCTTATTGTAAAGGTTCTCAACCTTGACCCGACTGAGATACCATTCAGGGGAAAGCCCAGCATTATTGTGCCAAAACCTGACAGACTCTATGTCTCCTAAGTCAGTCTCTGTTGAAAGTAAGAAGGTGTCTACATCATCTCGTTGGAGAGCTGTATAAAGTGAGCACTTTAGAAGGTGAGTACTGCTTTTACCACAGCTTCCTGTAAGTTCACAGAAAACATCAGCACTAGTTCCTGCTCCAACCCTACTTCCAGTGTAAACAGTTAATAGATAGCAATATTTATCAAAAGGGTCATTGTCTGGTAATACCATGACTTGATCTTTGTTACTTACATCACTTTTAGCCTTTTTGGAAGCCCATACAGCTAAGCACCCATATGCAGCATATATAATACAGACTGTAATCAGCGTGATCCAATTTCTATGAATGGTCCCAAAGAGGCTTCCAATTTTTCTGAGATCCACAACATTGGGAATCACAATAATCTTCCCAAATATGGACCTTAGAAAGGTAATTTGCTCTGATTTGGATTTTGTGGTGGCTACAGTACTGCAAATGCAGTGAACTCTATCTTTGTTAGTAAGAGCTCCTACTTTGCAAGTATGTTTTTTCCAACTGTTAGACCAGCCATCAAAGTCTAAACAAAATGCAGATAAAACTGAAACATTTAACATCTCTGTCATCATTGATTGTTCAGCTGTTTTAATGAAAATGCTGACTTTGCACATAGTGTTCTCCAGGATTGGAAGTGCTTGAGGTATCTGAACCACATACGGTTCTTGATGTTCAACAAAATGGATGCTGGTGTTGCTTCTCTGATCATGTTGCACTAGAGTTCTGGTATTGTTGTGCGGTAGTAAGTAAGTTGCAAAAGGTTTTGAATGTAAATCTTCATCACAGAGATGAATGTTAACTGAGAAAGAAACATTGAATTCTGGAAATAACTGTATAATTAAAACTGCATCAGGATCTGGCATTATATCAAAACTGATGGCCCCACTTAAACCTCTTGACTTATCCTTTTCAAGAACAATTGGTAGCAATTGAGGGGAATATTTGTTTTGCATCACCATTTCAAAATTCTCTATAACTAGATCAGTTGTATTTCCATCTCCTCTTAAAACATGGACTTGAAAGGCTGAAACCACAGTTGAGACATTGTCTCCACTCAAAAGCCAGGGGTAAGGATCCTCTACAAAGGTGTAAATGGAAACTGAAAGGGTAGCATCAGGCGAAAAGGCAGAATTTGCTGGTAGTCTGGGTTTGAAACAGCTTGAGCAGTGACTGTCACCTATAAAGGAATTCATTATGTTTGATTGCTCAGATTTCGTATTACTGATGTTCAACATCTTGGACTGCAAAACAGTTACATTCTCTCCAGGAACTTTTCCTTCCAAAATCCCGTCACTCAGAGACTGCAGGACAGTGAAAATGTCTTTCGTAGAACTGATTTTATATGTAACTTCTGCTGTACTTAATGCATTAGAGACTGTAAATCCATCAACTACATTACTCACAGCAGACAAGATGGCACCACCTACATTTTCTGTTATTTCTGTGCCAATATCTTGCGTTGCATACTTCAAAAAAGCAAAAGTGATTTCCATAAGTTTTCCCACAGCTAGTTCTCCAATGTTCTTGTTTATGTCACTGCTTACTTCTGTTATTTTATTTATACTTGATGCCACCTGACTAACGTCCACAAAGGAATGGACAGGAATGCTGGAAGCCGTTTTCAGAAGAGATTCTCGCAGTTCTGTTTTCTTGGCCAAACCTATGGCATAATCAGGGGCATTTAAAATTGATGCAATGGAAAAGATCAATTGATTTGTTTTCATGTAGTCTTCTCCTGCAATGGAGGCAGCAAGGGGACCTTTTTCAATTTCACCAAGTTTTGCAGCCATAGAGAACCCCAAGCTATATTTAACTTTAACCTGTAGCACCTTCAGTGTGTATGCCCCAAGCTGATCAGACACATGGACATATAAGGTCACCATGTTGTCTTCTGAAGCAATCCCAGGAGGAAGTAAGAAAGGCTGTGATGTGGAGCTGTAACCAAGATACACAATTGTACCACATGAATTATCTTGTAATGAGTTTACAATTACCCTCTTGGAGTCATCTACACAGGCTTTAACTTTATACATAAGAGGATGATTATCATCCACAAACCCTGAACACTGTACAACAAATTCTGTTAGTAATGCGATACCATTGCTGGGGATCACTTGGCAGTTTCCCATCTTAGGAGGTTCATTAACACTGAAGAAATACCTCTGCATGCTTGAGAGTCCACTCCTTGTGCTTACTTTGACCTGCAACTCAAATGTGCTGCCTATGCTCTTCTGAAACACAAAAGCGTTTATTGAAAGGTATTTGTTAAATCTTCCTGTTGTAGTGTTGGCTGCCCAATCAATTGCAATTTCAGTTGCATTTTTACCAGCCAATAAATACCATTCAACGTTGGGCTGGCTGTCAGTGCTACAGGAAATGCAAGCACAGGAAAGCACAAATCTATTTGACGGGTTCAGCAATTGATCACAGTTCTCAATGCAGTAGAGTTGAATTTCAGGCTGTGGTCCAGGTAAAACATTTATTGCTTGGTTAAAATGACTCTCCCTGCCATCTTTTTGAACTGATAGACGAAAATGATATACAGCACCTCCTTTCAACAATTCAGGCATGATTTCAACTGTAGCTTTTGATGATGGTGGCCATCTGATTTCAAACTGGTCCGGGTGACATGCGTTATTCGGAGAGAGTGTCATAGCCTCAAGATCCATGGGTTTCCTTGAACAGTACCATGAGAAATGGAGACCGTCAAATGGGTTCATTACATCAGGGTCGGCAGACAGTGAACCATTCAATACCAAAGTTGCATTAAAACCCACAGTTCTGTATGAGCCTCCTTTAATGACAGCTTTCAGAGGGCTTTTCATTACATCCACAAAAAGTGAATCAGTATTGGTTACATTTAGATTTGAATTTTGTATAAAGACGCTGACCGTAAGATTCATCATGTACATGCCATACTCTAGAGAGCATTTTGGGATGTACAAGAAGGATTTGCTAGCTGAGGAAATGAATGGTGCTGCCAGAGGATTTTCCCATTTTGGAACTGAACTGACACCAGCGACTCTGTATATTTTCCAGATGAATGTAGTCTGCAATACACAAGAACAGTATACTGCCACTGAAGAGTAAACAGTAAACTGGAGAGATTTTTTTACAGGTATAACAGGAGGGTCTGGTTTCCTCAAAAGTACCTTCAAGCACCCACTGGTCTTCCTACTGAAGCATGCCAGGGACCTTGCAATTTTTACAGGACGGTTTCCAAATGTCACCGTTAAAATTAGGGGCTTTTCTCCACTGTCAAAACAAGTCACATTGGCAACAAAGCCCACGTAATTTACAGCCGCCCATGATGGCTCGGCACCTGAAAGAAAGGTGAGGGCATTTGGATGTTGGTCAGAGTAAGAATACGTGGAAGTGAGTGACGTTCTTGAGGCACAAAGCACCTGCAGCTTGAATGTCCATTCACACTGCAGAAGGGGATGCTGGGTGGGCACAAACCAAACTGCATGCTGTGTAAAGTCTAGATGTGGCGCCGGACTGTTATACAGGTACAGGTCAAAGCCACTCCCAAATTCACCCACAGATTTGTACAGGCTGTCCCGTTTGTTCACATACGTTTGCACACTGACAGTATAACGCTGGTCCCAGGAGAAGCAGAATTTGATCAAGTGCAGGAAGATTTGCTGTTGGATGAAGATGATGTGCAGTACATTATTAACCCTACTATCCTGTTTGTAGTAGGAAAAGTCATCAGAATTGCTGAAAAAATACAGGACGGTCCGGTTAGTTTGAAGATCAAAGGTCAGTTTGGTGTAGGTTGTGTTCAGAGTGAGTTCGGCAGTGCCACTTGAAAATCTGATGGCGCCACTGAAATTGCCTAAGAAAGCGGTCTTCTGCAGCACAATGTCGGTGAGCAGGAGGCTGTTTGATCTCCTACTATTAAAACAAGAGGTTTTTCTCAAAACATAGCTGCTATAGTCTACAAGCCAGGTTCTGTTGGTTTCACTGGCTTCCAATTGGTAACTGACAATGTTCTGAATGTCTGATGCTTTCCAGAAAACATGAAATCTTTCATTTAGACTTAACACTTCACTCTTTGCATTATAAATAGGGATTAGCCCTGATTTTACCTGAATGTCAAGGACAAAGATATTTCCTTCACTGATTAATTTAGCCCTATACGTGCCCGGCTTGGGGTAAGTCACTTCTACTATGTAGTTATAGTTATTGGAGCATCTGCCTTTCAAGTGAACAGGGACACTAGTGGTGTCAATAATAACATACCAGTCACTCTGTATCATTTTCTGTGAGGGAGTCCCTCCTGGGGCTTGAAACATGTAGGTCCATAATGGGCTTTTCATCTCAGCACACCAACCAATCTGCACTTTGTCAAAATCGTACAGTGGAGCTGGAGACAGTAGGAAAAAATCAACCTGTTGGTCGATCACCCTTATGGTCAGATTTTTAAATCGGCAGTCTGTCGGAGGGCAGGAAGACACGGTGCAGGACGTCACGGTGATTACCTGGATGTCTGGAGCCAACGTGAGAGTCCCGGACCAGCGGTCAGTGCGATGAATTAATCCTGCAGCGTGGTCCCTCCAGTCACAGGTGGGAGGCTGCAGTGCGTCGGCTTTTATGTTCTTGCATGAGCTGAAGCGGATCTGCGTGCTCTGTCGGCGTCGGCAGGTGACGAAAACGTCCGTGTCGGCTCTGCTGTGCACCTCCCCGTCCTCGTCCGCACACCTAATCTCAAAGGGGGGCGAATTGAAGCCAGGCTGTGAGAGGACACGGGCGTAAAACAGCAACAGCATACAGCACCACGTCAAGGTAGAGGTCATTGTATTTTTGCCTTTATCACAGTTCGGTTTTGAAAGAGATTTGCTTACAGGTAGGGGATGCGAGAAAGTCTAGAGGCACCGTTAATTTTGAATTTGGAAAAAGGTGGCCACGAGCTCGTATAGTAGGTCACACCTGAGCAGACAAGAGCGCAGCGCGACCTCTTGAGACTGATGACGCACGTTAGGATGCTCCTTCAGTTCGCCGAGTGAGGAAAAGACCGCACAACACACGCAGTAACAACGTATTAACATTAAATTAAATTAAATTCGGTCTAAAGTTCCCATTTTTGGGGTACATCTCCTCGTTTTAAGTTTCTTTGGTAAGCGCAAAGTTGGAAAGGGAAAAGAACGACGTTATGTACAGTAGGTAATATATATTAGGCTTGCGAAAGAGGGAGAGAATACATTGAATTAAGCTCAGTTTTTACCCGGTCTTCACGATTGCATATGGAAAAAAAAGAGAAAAGCGTTGCAGGTGTATTCCTGTTTTAGTCCATTCGTCAATCACTTCTTCAGCTTTTGCTGGCCACTCCTCAGGATGGGGTTTCATGCTCGGTCTTTTTCAAAAACTGCAGAACCTCGCTCCCCCCCCCCACCTTATAACATAAAAAACAAGAAACTTCCATGTGAACCTTTACTTTTCTGAATACCGTCCACCAGGCCCTTCAAAAAAGGTTTGTACAATTTAATCTTATTTTTTTTCTGTTTCACTTGTATTTTACTAATATACCCCCACCATTATTTAAATCCTACATAGCTCGATTCAAAACTGTATAGTGCTATTTCTTCTTATTACGGTTATTAACCTTATTAATTCACCCAGCTTAAATGACCAGTGGACTCGGATCAACAGAAGACAAAAGAAACGTGTAGCTTACTGACCATCATCATAAAATAAGCTCCGGAAACCAAAAAAGAAAATACAGTAATTGAAAGAACGTACAAACCACAGCAATTCTTCCCTCAAAAAAATAACCTTTTTTATTAAAATCCAATACTCCACATAATTTTGGTTTCTTCAGCTGCAGTCTACCACGAGTCATGTCAGGCTATGTACATGTTTATTTTCTCTAGAAAGAAAAGCCCACTTATTTGCATTCATTTTCAGTTTGGGCCATAAAACAGATTATTTTCTTTTTCTATTAATCAGCTTAGCCTAATACATAGTATAAATGCACATATTCATATTAAATTCAATATTCATAAAGTGGCATCACATTTTCAGATTCCATGTCAAGAGAAACTATAGGGATTTTCCAGTGACAAGCACATCGTAACCATCCATACCCAATGCATACTTGTTTCACATTATGTATTAACGGAAATATAAACAGTAGAGAACACGACTGTTTCTGTGCACAGGTGTACATTGGGTTTAAACAAATGTGGAAGTCTATAAACTGTCAGTTCACTTAACTTCCCTTCCAGTCCAGTTTTTTGCCAGCACCGTTCACTGGGTGACTGGAGTCTTCTGTGCCTGTTTCTTCTTTTTAAGCTCCGCCTGGATTTGCTGGGGAAACTCTTCCAAGTGCTCCCTGACACAGGACAAGCAAAAGCGCTTTGTGTAGAACAGGCTGCACTCCTGGGAAAGAAGCACCAGAGGTCAGCTCCATGGGTGGTTTTTAACAGTGGCTTTTTTTGTCCTGTATTTTCTATAAGAATTAGATTCTTGATGAATATAAAATCAACACTGCAAAAGAGAATAACCTGCCAATCACTACGATGTGGTCTGTAACCTCAGAAATGTGTCCCCGGGAGCATTATCCTCTAATGCCAAAAACGGATATACACAAAAAGTTTAAAAGTACTGAAACTCTTCAGTGCTGAAAATAGAAGAATAGAGGTGCAGAGGTACACCACATCCTGAAGGTACTGACAAAGTCAACCTAATACATTACTTCATGCTCAAAAATGAAAGTGGGACACAATCAATAGAGAAAAACACAGACACGTTTTTACACAAAAAGTGGTTGGTGTCTTGAATAAGGTGCCTTGTCATGTCACTAAAACTGGGGTCTTTCAAGAAAGTGGGATATGAAATCCTATGATCCATAAGCTACCAGCACCCTAACACATTGGGCTGAATAGCATCTTTTAGGCAGCAACATTTTGTAAGTTAAAGGATAAATGAGTAAATGGATGAAGACATATACCTACATATTGAACGTAACAGCTACGTAATTAAAAAATATATATTTAGTTTTTGTGTGCAGTATTTTTTTAAAAGATAGAACTACCAATTATTTTTGGTGTACCGTCCAATTTGGAATAATCAACTATGTGATTTCCATGACACAGCTCTGAGCTACAATCCCAGTAATTGCACACATTCCTCTCCTAACATATCACAAGCAAAAACTCTGTGTTGAGCATAAAGAAAGATCTGGGTTCCCTCTCAGAAATCTGAAATAAAGCACTCAATTAGATCTCCCCTAAAACGTCTTTGCTAAAAACAAGTTAGATTTCCAATTATGTTCTTTTAAACTCTCCACACATTAAAACGTTTCTCAGGTGACATTCATTTTTCAATGTGGTGGCCAGATATGAACACTGTTCAAGTCATCCAAATGCTCAAGACAGTCTGAGCATGACTTTCAGTCCTGCATGGTGATTTCAGCAGTTTCTACTATATAGCCAAGCATAGTCCACCTGTATCTAGCTACTCTGTATACAGTAGCCAGTTCATCTTTTCCCATTAGAAATTAGATTTAATTGAAAAGTTAACCTACAAAGCTGCGGTTAAAATCAGAATGGTAACCATATTCAGGAATAATTCAGGAAAAAGTTTCTGTGAGTTGATAGTTCACTCATAAGGGTCAATTCGAAGACAAAATATTTAGTTTCCTCTCACATGCTGTTCCTCTTAGAGCAATTATAGAAAAATCAGTAAACGAAAATCCTGTTTAAAGTCTGGTGAAAAGGATTTAACGAAAGGTCATTCTCATAATACATAAAACAAGAAACATTGGCCGAAAATATCCCAACGGCACCTCTTCAAAGTACAGCAGAGGAAGTGAATATTAGCTTCCCTCAGTATTATTTTCACTTAAAAGGCTATTGAAACGTACCGTCCCAACACAAACGGTTTTGCCGCATATACTGCAATGTGATCCTAAAACCAAGAATTTCTCCTTGTTGGGACTAAAGGGATCCTTCGTTACAAAGCACTCCTCCAGAAGACTGTGGGAAAAAAGACACAAAGTGGCATTGGCAAAGCAAAAAAACACCCACAACAAACCAAGTGAAGTTCATAGCTAAACTGTGTAGCTAAAAAGCCTGCACTTACGGGAAGGAGCTAGAATTACTCTGCACTTTTGATATGTAGCACACTAAAACTGGCCTTATATGTTCAAATCCATTGTACCCACATTTTGTTACAATTTTATTGTCACAGGAAAAAAAGCATTGTAAGAATATTCCAATATACAGCACTTTACAATCAATGAAATGCATGCTGGTTTTTTGAGTGAAGTCTGTCATATCCAGTACATTTATTTACCATCTGATTCTCAGTTTGACAGAACTTGTGACAAAATTGATGCAGAAAACTAGCCACCAGCATTATCTCTACAAAACATTTGTTTTAGTCAAGTTTCTTGAGGGCTGAAGTCTAGCTCACTAGAACTTGGGGAAAGTCTTTATCACCGCTCCTTGAAAGGTGAAAGAAGCACTTCAAGTAGGGGAGAAACAACTGTTGCAGCATATCTCATACAGATAGAGTAATGGACCCCTGAAGGAAGATAGGTAATACTGTATCCGTTTGTAAGGAGACTGTGGAAAATACCAAAGCATTTAATTCAAGTACATGTACCTTACAGCTATACTGTACTGTATGTCAACAGGCCTTCAGGTTACCTACTGTTCTCATACTTACACAATGGCCCTGGTGTTGGGTGGCTTCTGCCCATAATATGTATAAGAAGCTGAGAAGTCACAGAATTTACAGGTAAACCGTCTCTGTGACTGTCCATCTTTGTCCTCTTCCATCTGGAAGGAGATACAAAAAAAAATACTCCGTAACACAGCCTCCCCAAAAAGAACTTGCACAGCACTTAAGTACATATTTGCCTTTCCTCTCTGATGTTAGATCTTAAATTTATCTTTAACATTTGTGAATAATAATGTTAATTGTCACACAGTGCATAGTCTGCATGAAAGGAATCTAGGTGTTCTTGCAGATTCTTATATGTCTTCATCACATCAAAGTGGGGAATCAAAATCAAACAGCATGTACAGGTATATAGCAAAAGTGTGACATTTAAAGCCAGGGACGTTATGCTCAAATTTAGAATGCACTAATAAATCCTCATTTAGGATATTGTGTTCCGATTTGGTCATCTAGGACAAAAGGCTCCTGTATTTATAGGTTTGAAAACAGTTCACAGGCAAGAAACAAGAAAGATTCTGATCTCTGGGTCTGTCACAGACAGGCTAAAGTACACAAAGACACACTGATAAAACAAGTGATAAACGTATATGATCTGTAACCAATCTCTGTGCTCTCCACAACAGATGGCACCCGAGTACACCAGAAGTGCATCAGACTGAGACGTGCATATTCTTTGTCAAACGTCCTCTCTAATATTACTGCACGTCTTTGATTCCTATCATCTGCAGCACACGATTAACACAGCCCGACGTGTACCTGATTATATAGATTAGCAGAAACCCTTATCCAGGATAATTTACAACATCTACATGAAATTTACTACAACTACCTTTTGGTACATTAAGTGGTGAAAATGTGCTCTGTAGCAAATGGTTTGTACAGAAGCCTTACTATAAATCCATATGCTTCTTTTTATTACTCTGTGCGTATCTATTAAAGTACTACAACATGCCTTCAAATCGAATCGATAAAAAAAAAATTGTACAGATACATGAAATGGGTTCCACGTTTAATTTCAATTGAAACATTTCAATTTTTAAATATTTACATTCTAAAACTGTAGACCGAAATGCCTCAACCGCGAAGCTTTAAGAAGTCGTATCGTTGTATTTGCATAACTCTCTACGGAAGGTCTAAAGGGACAAAACGCGCATCTGAGCTCAGTAATGTTGTCAAACGCCTTGCTTAAATGCATTACGTAATGTTTTATAATTTGGAGTAAACACGATGAAAAGCGGACAACTAAAGTATAACCAATTTTTGGGTGAGTTTCTAAACAATTTTCGTTGCTGTGATGCCTCTTTCCAGCGAATCACTTTCAATTTAAAATTACATTTCAGTTTAAAATTAAAGCAATCGCATATTTATAATATTGTTATTAATAATTAAAACACCCAAGCTGTAATTAAGTATCGATACTCGCCCACAAGTAGATTGCTGTTTGGCTGAGGGAGAGTCCTTTTGAAATACAACTCCCTGTCTCGATTGTCATGAAACTGTACATACAGTAGAAATGTGTTGAGTGTGGTACAGTGGCACAGTGGCTAGCATTGCTGCTTTACAGCTCAGGGTCCCTGGGTTTAATTCCAGACCTGTATAGCTATCTGTGTAGAGTTTGTATGTTCTACTGGTGTTCATCTGGGTTTCCTCTGGGTGCTCTGGTTTCCTTTCACAGTACAGAAACATACTGGTTTGTCCATTCTGGGAATATTGACCTTGTCTGTGTCTCTCTGCCTTGAGATGGAAAGGTGCCCACTGCTTGCCACAGCTCTGCTGTGAGCCTGAATTGGAAAGAGTGATTCGAATATGGATGGATTGATGTTATGTAAAAGTAATATAATGCATAATTAGATCTCATCTAGAATTCAGTTTATATTTCTGGTTCCCATGTTATAGAAAAAAAAACCTATAACACTGACAGGCTACAGAAACTGACACTTTTCAGTCTTGAACAGAGAGGAGCACGAAGGGACCTGATACAAGTATTCAAAATCCTCAAAAGCTCTAAAGAAGTCAACCCTGTGGATTTCTTCAGAATGAACAGTGAAACACAAACCAGAGGGCACAAGTGGAAAGTGCATTTCAAACTTAGAACGGGAGGCGCTTTTTTCATTGAGTGTGGAACAAGCTCGGCAGCAGTCTAAGGTGCTGGATTTAGGCTCCAGTCTCTTCGGAGGTGTGGGTTCGAATCCCACCGCTGCTAGTGCAGTCCTTCGTGGCAGAGCAGTGGCACTGTGGCTAAGGATCTGTGCCTGTGGCCTGCTTGAAGGTTCCCAGTTCAAATCCCGGGGCTACCAGAGGAATCCTACTCCGGTGGGCCCCTGAGCAAGGCCCTTAACCCCAACTGCTCTAGGGGTGCTGTACAATGGCTGACCCTGTTCTCTGATCCCAAGCTTCACTCCCTGTCTGTTTGTCTGTGTCTCATGGAGAGCAAGCTGGGTTATGTGAAAATATGAAATTGTATATGGCTAATAAAGTGATCTTATCTTAGCGGTGTTGTTGAAAATGATATCCTGGTTTCTTTTAAGATAGATTAACTGCTGTACTTACTATCAAATGAGCCTAGATGCTGATTTGCATTAATTGCAGTTTCTTATTCTGCTAAAGAGTACTTTTGGTATTTTCTTTTCCTCCTCTGCTCACACTGCTTTGTGATGATCTACAGTATGCAGTGATTCCAGTCAGGTCTTCTCATGCAGTGAATCAAAGCTGAACTCTCCCTGAGACAACTCCAATGGCTGAAGTGAGCCTGTGGGAGACAGAACTCATCTCTTTATATTGGGACGCTCTAGTAGAAAATCTGAAGTAATGATATACTACAAGTGTAGTGACTTAGTGTCAGAGGGTCATTACTGAAGTGGAATTTTTCATTTTTTTTAAATGAAAGCAATAAAAGTAAAAAAAAATATTAAATACATGCATAAGTAAATTGTGATTAGATTTAACTATGTATTTCTAACCGTGACTATGGTTATACCCACAGGTAAACAAAAAAGGTGACACTGCAAAAAGAGAAAGAGGTATATACTGTATGCACACATACTGTAAGGTTGAAATGATTTTTTTTTAGTTTAAAGGAGGATGTGTTGAATGAATTATGTGGGATATGTGAAACATGTGATTAAACTGGATTCCTGTTAGGTTTCCTTTTCATGCTTTTTAGTGATTCCCAGTTTTTTTTAAAGGAAGGTTGGGAAAAAAAGACCTTCCTACTATGGCGTCGGGATCGCATGGAATACTGTAGATCCTGCGTGGCGGCGGCGGAGGCCAGTCTGTGGCGTGAACGCGCATCATGGCCCTTACGTCACTGAAGCGCCCTGGCTGGTGGAGCTGCTGCTACTGCTGGCAGGAGAGGGTGGAAAAATCCGAAATAAGTGTTAAAATACGGCGCATCCTTTAATCCACCGTTATTATATTTCAGAGCGGTTGGTTCGCTAAGCTGGGTGCATAGCAGCTCTTTGACAGGAGCTGGACAAGTAGGAAAGGTGAGAAGATCATCTTTTGTGGTCCTTTTTTTAATCAGTGTGTTCTTGTTGTAAAGCAGTCTGACTGCTGTTGGGCAAAGGGGAGACGTCTTGTGTTTTCTGTTCTGCTGTCTAGTTACTCAGATGCATTGAAACCAGTGGACTTGTTGTGGGGAATACACATTTTTAATGCTAAATACAGTTCGTTTTCCTAGAAGTGTTTTCCAGTACGAAAACAAGTTAAGGAGTTGAATAACGAGCGAAACAGCGATGAGAAAACGGAGATACTAAGGAAAGCGCTGGATGAGGGTGTCTCCTTGCAGCGCCGTTGTCTGCCAGGTATTTGACTATGTAAAGGGTTTAGCAACAGTTCTCTTCGGGATAATAATGGCAATAATGATGCAGATCTAGCCATCCAGTAGTTTACGTCACTTTGTTTATATTTTTGTTTCTACAGGGTACTATATAAACCATTTATTTTAATTTTTTTGCACAGCTGACCGAATTTGTTGGTTACAAAATTACCCCAGCTAGTTTACCATTGTGAATAGCGGGACACTCGATAATGAGATAAATCATTTGATATACGGGCGAATTTTAATTCGTGATGTTGTCACGAAGAGGTTTTCTATAGAGCGTTTTCAGCTTTCTGCATGTTATATATATTATATACTGTATAGTGGAATGTTATTAATCTGCCGTAAGGGGTAGCGCTAACCGTGTGCTTGAGGGACTAATGTATGCTGGATATGGCTTCTTAATAGAAGATGCATATTTAAAACCCTTCGAGAGATTTAGTGCGGTTTAGCGTATAGCATACAAAATGTATAAGTCGTTGTCTGTAAGGCTATCAGGCGTTTCCATTTTCCCTTTCCTGCAGTTTTTTAGATGTGTCGTCTTGAGGTACAATGGGAGTAGGGGGTAATCCACTGCGCCTACAGGTTGTCTCTTTTTTTAACGTGCTTTTGTTGCAAGGACGTGTTGCCTCTATGTGAAATACCTGGGTGACAAACCCCGTGTATTCCCAGACGACTAAATAATCGCAGGAAAAAAAACATTAAAGAGAAACAAAGCGAACGGGATAGCCTCGGGTTAATTGTATTTAAAAGCCGTGTACACACCGCTAAACACAGATGTGACTTCATCGTTCGATTAGCACCTTTTGATCATCACCCCAATACATTTCATCTAATAAAATTAAGTTCTGAAAACCACAAATTCATGGTCACTCTTTCAATATTAACAACCAGGTAAAGATTTACTGTCACTGTAGATCTTAAAAGGATGTGCTAGTTACATTCTACTGACATTTAAATTCAATGTAATGTTTTGCTGGGTGTGACTGGGTAATTCTGCTTTTAACCCACTGTTAAGTTTCTTCTGCCAAGTGGTTATGCGGGTATGAGCCTCTTCCCTTCAGGTGTAATTATTTTTAAATGGGAAGTTACGTCACTTTTGCCCAGTGAAGTGTGACACAGCTGCTTTAGGTCTGTAACAACATCAGAACCACAGCAACTGGCACATGTTTTTGACTTATCTTTGCTTGTTTTTAGAACTCTGATAGCCTTTTTTCTAGCACCAAAGTTGGATTTAAGATTGTTCGGCTTTATGGAAGCTGAGCGGGAAGCAGCTGGGAAGGTAATCTGCACCTCCAACTCTGAGGTCATGAGGTCGTTTCTCCTGGGGAAAAAAGTAGGGCTGGTCCCTCCAGGGACAGGGGTGGCATCTGTCAGGTTCCTTCAGTTTGTGGTCCAGAGTAGTGGGAAGTGGGAGTATGAGGCTGGCCGATTGGTGTCACTGGTTGTGGTGTGGTGGGATTTGAATGACCTGTAAACACGGTTTTATCTGGATAGACTTCCGTCCACATGCTCACCTTGCTGTCTGAAACTTTGGCTTAAGGAGTGAAAGGACAAGCCCATGGACATAATTTTTTTTTTTCCTGCCACAACACTGCTGTGCTTAGTGCTCATCATAGGATGAGGAGGCAGACCCTGAGAGTACAGGCGCTGCTCCAGCAGATTGCAGGGAGCCAGCCAAGGTGATCCCGGCACCTGGTAGCGATTCTTCCCTGGGAGACAACTGCTGGAGCTCCGACAGGCGTGTCCATGTGCCAACCCACCTCCCTTCAAGTGTTTAACTCTGGAGCTGCGGTTGCCATAGCACACAATGAGCCTGGTATTCTGTGATTCATGTGTGATTCAGAGATGTGTGTCAAATGTTGAGGTGGCAAAGAAAGATATATTGTAGTGAGAATCTTCCCCTGCTTGAATTGGTTGGAGTATTGGCAATTACACGCACAGCTGTATCCAGATGACTCTCCCAACTACATTCCAGGTGGGAAATTAATTTTCAAAATCCATTCTTTGTTACTGCAGCAGTTTAGTCACTGTCCCTGTCTGATGTCTCTTGAGATCTGCACCATACTGAAGGGGCAGAGAGACACCATAAACGGCACTGAACAGCTTAAGGGGTAACGTAAGGCCTGGCAGACTCCAAGCAAGGGCCATTCACG